GCTGTATTTGGCTAGTAAATGAGGCACCGAAAACGAGCTTGTTTGCCAAATTGACTTCTCAATAGAAATTAAGCAGCTGCACAAACTGTTTTTGGACACAGAGGCAGTTTATGCAAAGAGTTCTTTTCGCTTCCGCTGTGGCAAACAAGCGACAGCGAACCTCCTTTGATAGTAGCTCACGAACCCTGATACAGAACAATAACATAATAATATGCAACAAACCGAAAAGAAAACCCATTCCCTATGCTGTTCCACTGAGGAAAGGCTACAACCGAGAGTGGATTGACAAAGTTTGGTCCAATTCGGACTTTCAAAGCGACCAAATTGAGGTATATTTTGACATCTTTGATCCTATGCCCCGTTTATTGTTAGTTGCCTCGCCAAATTTTTCAGTGCGACTCTTCAATTGTACGTGAAGTGCCACTTATCTCGATCGAACTATGGGAGAGGGGCATTACAGAGATTGATAGGGAGAATTCGTCGTGTGTTGAGCGAACGAGGGGCGAACTGAAAAACTAGTAAGTACTGTACAGCTGTTTTGACGTGGTTGGGTCGACCCAACTGGTAGCAACATGTAGTCAGATTGTGAAAGTTTCCAATCGAGTCACAACTCGGAGGCTAGTGCTAATATAAGCCCGGCGTGCTGCCTGAAATCAGCTCGCGAAAATGGGTTAGACTGTATCGTGTCCATAAAAAATTTAAAACCGTCTGATCAGCTGTCTGGTGACCAAATGCGTGGTTCGCTTCCCCTCTGCCGGTAAGGCCCCGGGTTCAATCCTCAGTCAGGTTAATGGATTATCATTACCAATGAACCCAGTCATTTCAAACCAGCTGTCCAGTGCTACATAGCTTGTCAATTCTCACTTTACTATCTCCATACACAACGACTTCTCCCTATGAAGTTCAATAAATTATTCTTACATGTTACAGAGCATCAGGCGCAGTGACTCAAAATTAGACTAAGGTGTATGCTGTTTAGGTCAATCGTTGCTCACTTGCTACACTCTGATCACTCGGTTGCGATGTAATTCGTGATTAATCAAATGCAGAGTTCCGCTAGATGAGTCAAAGTTGACTGGTTCCTAATCCTATGACAACAAGCGAATCAATTAACATACTCTTTTTTAAGCTCAGCGTGATGCTTAGAAGCTCATTTAGATAGTAAACCTCCCAGTCCATGATATTTTACGTTCTTTGCAAATAGTTCATTAGTTCAAGCAATAATCATATGAGTAACAAACACGCAAACCAATTATACGGATACAAACACAGATGTACGCGAAACTTACACACAAACCAGTGATCATATCTAACCCCTACCTCCCTAGCTCCAACAACTGACTCATTGTTCAACCAACCTGAGGACGAAACTCATTTCTTCCCTTCGCATACAGCGGTATGCACAAATGCGATTTCAATGATTTGAGTGTAAGAAATAGATCTTTGAATTGCATAGCCTTCGTAACACATCAGGGCAAGTGTGACTAGTTTTCATTCACTAGAGTTAATCAGGGACTGAACACATAGTAATGTGTATAGAGCGTATGGAGTGAATTTCGTTGTGCACTGGGCAATTGAAGTCAGACCATGAAATCTGAGGAGAACTAGAAAGCTGTTTCGAGCTGGTTTGGTCTCATCTCAAGCGCGAATCTATCTGCCCAACTGAGTATCGAACCTGGAACCCCACAGATAGAACGTTAGCATACGGGCCACGATATGGTACCATGAAACAATGATACTTAATGAAACTTTATTTTATTCAATTTTACAATATTCCAAACTTCATTCCGTCCGTAGATTTGCGATGAATGGAACCCTTTTGTTCGAATTATTAGGTAACCTGATGATATATCCCTTATCACGCAACCGGTTTTGAACTGGAAGGATAAATAAAAAATACTTACAGTCGAATATATCGGTTACAGAGATTTTCCGCTGTCTGGTTCTAACCGTAAACATATTCGGAACATCCGTGATCTCAACTTATTGACGTTTGGCACTTTGCTCTCTCCCCTAAAAGTTCATTCGTGACAAATGAATTGATTATTGCTAACACGTGATTAGGACTAATAAATAATGATCCTTGATAAGTAGAAGTCTTCGCATTCAAATGGAAATCGTGCGATAAATTCACATAATTTATTCAACTTTCAATATTCTCAAAAGTGATTATCACGAAATAATGTTCCTTTACCCTCTGCAGTCCCAGATTTTGTGGCCTAATTAACAATATTTGAAGCCACACGTCTCGAAAAAAAAACAATTTCCCAATGGAAAACTTGAGTGACTGAGCCGGTAATAGAATTTTCAGTGCAACACATTGATCAATTGTGGGAGAGTAATGGGAACGCTTACAGGATATTGTTGTCTCCATCGATCTGTTTTGATGATCATATCAACCAGAGTTGTATATGAAGCCCGAGCTGCTACCTCGAGTGGAGTGAGTCCATCCTGGAATTGACGTTGAGAGAGGATTGGGGAAATTTAAATAAAGCCTTTCGGAAAGCATCGTTCAACTTATGAAGTGAATGAGGACATTTTTCGATGTTGAGTTTTACCTGCTAGGCTACTCAAGTAGTTCGCAAAGCAGAAGAAGACGGGTATTCATTTGATTGATTTTTAAGTCCTAGTAACGAAAATAATCAATAAATTTTAATTGATTTGGAAAACAAACCAAATGAGCTCTGTCATCAAATTGTTTTGATGTGCGCACTGGAGCACCTCCCGTGCGGTGATGTTACACTTTTCAGTGCAAGAAAACTCTGTTTCAATCAGTGTTATTTGTTACCAGCAAATTATTTGAAAATGTGTACCTCAGCAGACGCGTATTATGACTGCAAAATGTGGTGCTACGTGGCTTCAGTAAAAGCAAGTGGAAATATACTACGCGATTGACAGAAGCTGTAAAGTCGACCGTATTTTCAATCAGTTGAATTGAGTGAGACAGACATAGAAAATGATCCGAGGAACTGAGGTCCGGTTCTATCAGAAAATATGCAATCGATATTATTTTACTCCTAATTCTCATTCAACATAGTTGATTATTCAATGTACGAGGAAAGACAAACCCCAGAACCAGGGGAGTGCAAACGTAGAAAAGAAAACTAAGCTAAGAAACCCTTCCAAAAATCATTACCATTCATATCTCAACGAAGCACAAACTCACGTTATCACGTGGATCGAGCTTTGCACCGGCCAGTAGCAATGCCTCCACCGTCTCCAGTCGATTTTGTTCAACGGCCAAATGAAGTGGTGTTTGGCCCCGCTGAAAGAAGAGTTTTGAAATTGGCATAAAACATCCAACAACATCACAGTCTACGCATCGCATACCGATTGGGAGTGAATGAGAATGCTGACATTAGAGAATCACCACATTTCTATACGGCTATACTCACCTCATTTTTCGCTTCGAGATCAAAGCCTCGCATGACTAGAAAGTAAATTGTGTCTGGCAGATTGGACAGTGTTGCAACATGTAAACAACTGTTTCCATTCTGTGGGTCAGTAACAGGCGAAGGGAAAAGAGACGGTGATATATAAGGAAATAATGCAAAAACTGTCAGTGATACAACCAAATGATCTACGCAATTTGCTTTCATGTTCAGTAAACTGTAGGGTCAATCTTTTGAAAGGAAACCAAGGAATAAAAACTGAGTGTGACGGTCGCTTGGATACGAATTTTGATTGAGCTGATGCCCAATACTCTCACTGCGCTTGCTTGATTTACCAACGACGAACAATAAACAATAGTCTTTCATCACTTCCTTTGATTTAATAAACATATAAAGCTGCTAAGGATGATCGTCAACACAGATTTGTGTGTAAAGTATCAATGGACTTCTAGCTATTATATTCGAAACACCAACGCTAAATTCTCAAATACAAGTGATCTGATAAACAAGGTCGAAGGAGTGATTCACATATTTTAACATCACATATTGTATGACAACCGGAAAGCTTAAAATAAAACGTGGGATGGTGAAAGTCCGCGGGATAGGGAAACCAACAACAAGAGTTGAAGGAGGCAGTTTGAAAATGATTCGAGGTTCACGACAACTCAACCGATTGAGATCTACTGTTACATTTACGAAGAAATAGTTGAACCATTACATCAACCATGAAGAGAAAACGTCACTAAACTGGAGGTGGCTTACGCTGTTCATCCACATTTTAACAGAGGCCATTCATGTTCTCATTTTTACCCATTCTGGACTGGAAACACTACGGATCAAATGACTGTCATTAGATGGCGGTGCCGTCTTCTTTGGCATCATATCACAATGGATTTTACTGAAACTTCACCATCACACTATAGATGAGATGTCCACTCGGGTATGGGCGGTGGTGGCCCGGTGGTAACATCACCAATTTATCATTCCAGGTATGTTTCCGAATCCCTCAACACCGCCTCACTTTTCCCATTGTTTATAGAACGGCAGCCTTTTGATTGGCCGCTTCCCCCTTCCTGAAATTTGTATAATTGTATGTTCAATAAAAAGGAAGTAACAACAACAATGCAAAAAAACACCTGGCAGATAGTTTAACCGCGTGCAAGTCCGATCACATAACATAATCTGTGTATAACCAAATCTTGCCAGTCGGTCTGATCTGATGGGCGCTGTTGAAGGAGCGCGTGAAATGAGCCTACCTTGGTTCTTTTGTCCTTCTGGGCGCCGTGAGACAACAAAATGTCAATGCACGAATGATATCCACGTCGTGATGCCTCGATGATCGGTGCGTCCATAGTCTGCAATCATGTGCGGGAACAACGGAATCAGAGAAAGCGAAGCAAAAAAAGGAAACAGTGTTAAATATTCAAATAGCGTCTGTTTTGAAGTTCAATTCAAATCCAGAACCAACGCAATACATGCGACAAAGATTTGCAAACTAAATCCCCAAGCAGTTTCAATGTGTGCGTGACCGCCATTGTAAAAGCTAGTTGGTAACATACTGCTTTCACTCACTTGAAATTGTTGATCGTAAAAACCTACAGCTTTCTTTGACCTAAACCTAGACTGTTTTTAACTATCTAACCAATCGCTAAAGGAAAGGTGGGTGAAATATGAGAAAACCACACTGTGGAAACTGTGTTCAACTGATGCCAGTGGCGATAACATTTGAATTGCTCGAAATGTGGCCTGACGGGATGATTGCTTGCACAATGCAAATGATGCAGATCGTTTAAAAGTGTTAATTATTGCTTCAGTTGCGAAAAAAGATATTTGAAGCTATTCAATTAAGATGAACGCATAACAATAGGGGAGGATGACGCAGAAAGCATTTACTAAACAGGCAATCAATGTTACGTGAACGGAATCTGCCTGGATTAGGCTTTTGCTTTTATGTTCTAGTTCTGATACTGCTTGTGTCTTAAACAGTGAAAGTCACGTTAAAACAATGAGCGAAATAGCGTAAGAGATTCTTAATAAAAGACTGTTTCATGTAGCTATATACCGTGTATGGAATCTGCCGTTAAAAAGTGCAATGCAAAGAAGCCAAGAGAAGCCCAACTAAGTTAAAATTATAGGTGATATTCATCGAACTAGTACGACAAAACCCTCCATTCACGAATAATTATCAGTTTCAAGTTTCACTGTTCCATACCGACAGTTATGAAAAAAGGACATTTATTCCGTCTTTCATCTCACATTGCAATGTAATTAATTCTTTCTCTCTTATATCACTAATTGACAGTGAGTGCCACGAAATGAAATTTGAAGTAGTTCAAAAAATATTTGATGCTGCATGAAATTTCATTCTTCCTACTTAATGATTATTGTTTCATGAGGGTGCTTTTTACAGTCAGCCAGTGTTTTAAAAGCTTTTTTTGTTTTCTGCGTGATGCATAATGATTATACCGATAAATAGCATGTTCCATATTCGAATTCAATCAGTTACCGCACATCGCCTTAGATATGAAGATTATACAATAATATTTTCCATGTGTTGATGACAGAAAGGTTAGCTACCTTGAGGGTGGTTGTCAGAGACCAGATCGCAGCATGATCTGGGTGAAACTGACAAATTTGAGGGCCAATTTGTTGTAACTGATACAAAAGCGACTAGTTTACGAGCTCAAAAGTAAAGAAGAGAATATAGTAGATTGGCAAAATGTTATATCGATGCCTTTGTATTATCTAAGATCGTTTTCTAGGTAGATTCTTTTGATTTTGTCTACTAAAACTTCGTTTCCTTATAATTTATATGCTACCAACCGTCGTCTAAATCAAGAAATCATACTCTGACGAGGCATTGGACTAACAGAAGCAACTAGATAAGTAGGTACCTCATCATAGACCTTGTCTATTATGTGTGTGGTGCTACCATATTCATTCTCATGCACGCGACTCAAAACACTGAGCATTGAGGGATGAAATCTGAAGACGTCAAAATGTAGCACGAGTTCATAAATACCTGTACATCTAATGTTACAGAAACAATCCAAAAATGTTTGCAATGAATCGCGCCTTTAGTTCTCCCCGAAGCACGCTCAAATGAAACGGGTGCTTGATGAGAAATAAAAGAAAATCACGGAATTGTCGATGGTGTGCACACTACACGTTTAGCTGTAGAATAGAATCATTCGATATCGTGTTTGTCCGCGTGCGCAAATGCATCTGGCACTGTATGCACGTGATCACGCAGGAGTGTCTATTCAGAGACAGAATGCCAGTTACTCACATTTGATTCAACATTTGGATCGGCACAAGCACTGAGCAACTGGCGAACAACTTCCTGATGATTTTCCACAATGGCATAGTGTAGCGCGGACTTTCCATCGCTGTCCTGGGAAGTGATAAAAGAGCAGTGGTCATGTTTGTCATATATTTGGTTGTGACGTTCATATACAGGCATGAACACACCAAAAACGACACAAAGCGTCAGGGCAATCCAGAATTTATTGATTTTAAATATCATTTTACCAAGGTGCACATCAGATTCAACAGAAGAAACAAAAAGTGTCCATAAATGGAAGGTGATTGTAGTTATATCTTTGACAGAGACGAAATTGTAACCACTAAACGCTGTTGATACATCGTATAGACCACACCTCAGCTACAATCTCCTATTATGCGGATCAACAATTATAAGCAGTCCCTATGATGACCAACTGGGTGACATAAGCTTGGGCTTAACCTACT